CTCCAGTTAGTCCCATACGAGCGTCCCATACGAGCAATAATATGTGGTTTTGAAGAAGTTGCGGAGATAGATCTGTTTTGAATGTGTATTACACTGACTGGGTGTAAAGTCACCCTGTGACATTTCACAATCGTCCAGTGTGGTCATGACTCCAGTTTCCTCCTCCACCGTGCTAATGATAGTTATTTTGTCTAGAATAACAGAATTTCTACATTCTGGAAATGTCATGTCATTTACAGCATACTGTAAATGTCTTCTAATACATCTATTAGTGTGTGGTGGTTTATCGTTTGCCAGAGCTGGAAGTAATGTCCTGTCCTCCACCTTTCCATGTTTGTTGATCAGTTGAGTGTTATAAAGTGCTTTCAAAATCACTTTTATCACACTTTAGTATCTGTCATATTAGAATTACTTATTTCATTGTATTTTGCTTGAATTTAATGTGAAAACCAATAGAAAGTAGCACGTAATTTTATTATAAAAAAGGAGAAGTGATTGTATGTTTGTATGTTTAAAAATAGATGCCAATACACATTTTTTATCCCCCTTTATTCTGATTTCCCTAAATAAAACCAGTCATCTTATGTAATATGAATTACAATAATTGTCAAAGATAATGGTTGACCACATAGATATTAAATTATTCATCAGGGAAATAGATAAACCCATGACATCAAGTTTGATTATTATTCATGTTAAACTGCTTTCATTTTCACCATCCCTTTGTCACTGTGTTATTTATATTAACATTCTGGGTCACATCCTTGTTCCTTCTTAGCCTTGTGCTAATAATTTGCCAGTTATAAAGATCAAGATCTAGATATGCTGATAATCTTTCTCACTAGAAAGACCACACAGCGCAACATAATCATAGAAATGTACTGTACAGATAGGAGGAACATCATTTGGTAGGGTATTTGTAAAGTACAGTACAAATATGTTTTATATTTACTAGCTGTGATCAATCACAATATATTATCTATGAATTTTCCAGAGCTACTGTCTTAAATCTTTCAGATGTATCCCTGCTCAAGGAAAACTTGAATAAAATGAATTGGGCACTGTCTTGCATTAGCTAAACTTCATGACTGAAGGATGAGTGAAGAAGTCATTCAGTTCTTTATTTCAACTATGTTGGAGCATGGATGCATCTAAAGGTTGCAGGACAGTAGCGCTCAAGGGCCATAGTTAGTCATTTCTGATCCAAGCTGATATATTTTGGGTGAATGAATGACTGTTTTCCATCAGGATGGAGGGTCACGGAGTCCGGTAAAAAGATACTCTGTTCCACGGCATGCCTCTGTCCTGGGTCGCCTTGGCTACAATGAACACGAGGAAAGTTCTACCTCCATTACGAGCTCCGGATCAACTGCTCCCCGCAGACCCACATGTAGGCTGCTCATTTAACTTGGGTTTCTAGCAGTTGAAGAAAAGCTGTTTGTCATCATACTAATGTGATTATTTAGGTTTAACTGTATCTTCAAAACACTTTCCTAAAAGGTAAAAACTATTACCAATGTGGAAAAAAATCCACATATGTTCTGCTCAGATAGAGGGTTCTCTTTGGCCAATACAAATTTTTGCTTACTTTAATGGAAAACTAAAAAATTTCTGTCTAATGATATAAATGTATTGATCTAAACTTCATTTTAAAATAACAGATAAGTTACAGTAAATTAACATAACATACTTAAACACCCATGCTGACAGTGACATACAAAGATACACTGGCTAATAAAAATATAAATCCATCATTAGATTCCAACACACCTGACATGGTTCAGTAAGTTTGATCTCCATAACTTTGATCTCCCAGGTACCACATGTAAAACGCATCCATTAGACTGTGCTATGGAAGTAATACAGCTGGTATTCAAACATAACAGCATAACCCAACAACATGTTTTAATCTCATGCTACACTTAACATACCCTCCATCTGCACTGATGAGGATTTACTCACTGCTTAGTCCCAAAATTTTGAGCAAAGACTGACTTTACTATTATTTGGCTAAAATAGCTGAACATATTTTCTGATAAACCCAGTTAATAGAATTTGACTATTTGACGGCATCCATGCAGCATTGAACTTTTATCCAATGTTACCAGTCTACCCTTAAATTTGTAGAGAAAACCAAGATGGCGATGTCACACTAAAAGCGTAATACTTTCTGTTGACACAGCGATACTTGTCTAAACCTATCACCTTCAATTATACAGGCTTTCTCAAGCAGCTTTAAAGACATGGTATATAATTGATTTATTCACTTTTAGACATTTCTTTTCTATAGGGAATCCGACATAGTATGTTATGAACCATTAGCTTAACCTTATTTCATAGAGGAAGTCGTTTTCAAACAGTATAAAAAAATATTCATTACAAAATAATATTTTTTATTGTTTTTTTTTATTGGTTTTCTATTGGTTACAAAAAAATATTTTTTGTAACCAATAGAAGTAATTGGGATTTTTTTGGTTACACTCTTTTTTAACTTGGCAAAATAACAATATTTTTCCATACCTGGCAATCATTGATCTTAGCCACTGAAAAGAATTTAGTCACTTTCTAGAGATTGTTCAGTTTCTATTGATTATTATATCTTAGGGTATACTGTATTATTTAGTGATACGACCCTAATTACCCTTGATGTGGATTTATTGGCCTGAGGATCCATATAATATTCAGCCCCAGTGTTTAAGATTACAAAGACAGAACATTTAATATAACAACACAACCTTGCTTAAGTTTTTATTTTTCTTTTGCAGCATTTCGCACTGAAATGAGAGCAGAGCATAGGATAGGACGAGCTCCTAGTATGACAGGTATGATGTGATATCAAATATTTACTGCAAGAGCACTGAAGTGATAGATTGTAGTTGTATTTCGTTATTCAATAGCATTACTCAGAGTTACAAGTCATCTCTTTGTTGTCTTCACCTCATCTGTTGTAACTATTCTCCTCCATCAGTTGCAGAATCTATGCGTTCTCGTTCCGCACGCAGTGGCCATTCCACCCCTCGTACCCCAGGCTCTACAGCCATCACCCCAGGAACCCCTCCTAGCTACTCTTCATCTTCTAGAACCCCTGGGACCCCACGCTCCCTTAGTTTGATCTCCCAGGAGAGAAAAGTGGCAGTGGTCCGCACACCACCAAAGTCACCTGCAACCACTCCTAAGCAGCTGCGCATCATCAACCAGCCACTGCCCGACTTCAAGAATGTCAAGTCAAAGATCGGCTCAACAGAGAACATCAAGTATCAGCCAAAAGGAGGACAGGTGACATGTCATATCTTACAATTTTGGCTTCAAAAACTTAAAGCCAGTCTTCTTTCTTTCATCACAGCATCTCTATTTTCTTCCCTTTAACAAATAGTTTTGTTCTTTTAGAGTGTGTTTTATAATTTCATTGTCATTCAGACATTTAAGACAAAACTAATATACTATATTGGTTTCATATCCATTTCACATGCATAGACTTAAAGTTTGTGCTGCTTAAAAAACTACAGTATAGTATTTAAATGTTTATGAATGAGTTATGATACTTCCTAAAATAAATCTGCAGAATTAAAACCACACATGATCACTTTAATGGTGTGGCTGAAATTCATAAAGATTAAGAACTCCTTTAAAATCCACCCAATTTGCCAAAAGCTGATAATCAATTTACCGTATTTTCTGCACTATAAGGTGCACCGAAAAGCCTTTCATTTTCTCAAAAACTAACAGTGCGCCTTATAATCCTGTGTGCCTTATGTATGGATCAAAATAAAGCTTCAACAGATCTCACAACTACAGGGAGCAGCCACCGACTCCATTTTCTCCCATAGAACAAGTAGCGTGTGGTGCATACTAGGAATTTTCATTTCCGTGTGTGTGTGTGTGTGTGTGTGTGTGTGTGTGTGTGTGTGTGTGTGTGTGTGTGTGTGTGTGTGTATGTTAAGACCTCATAATGGCTCCTTTCAAGAGACAGATGTACAATGCAGAGTTTAAGCTCAGTGCTATCAGTGAAAGCTAATAACATTTAAAAGGAAATCAAAACTCTACCAGGAATAACTAAATAAAAGTGTGTGAGATATTGAAAAAAATGGCTTTTATTTTTAGGGTAAGGTCAGATATGGAGGTTTGACCAGTCAGTGTCCTACTTTGGGAAGCCATGAACTTAGTCAAGATTGCACTTCAGACATTCAATCTACGTATCTTTGAAGGTATTTTTGCTTTGGTATAAGAGAGTTTAATTTAAAATCCGCAGTTCTCTCAGAAACCAAAATTTTAATGTCTGACTTTGCTTGAGGAGTAAAGTGAAAAATAAGGTAGAATACATCTCTGAACTTAATATGTGGTCACGTAAGATTAGTATTGACAGCCCTAACAGATGAAAAATTCCTTTATTAGATCTAACCCAATTTTGTTTAGATTTTTTAAATAACCATCCCAGCTCATTCAGGATAGGCTTTTTAACCATGACTAGCGCAGGGAAAGTGTTAACTTCCTCTGTACATTAGTAAGGTGGGGATCAGTCTACCATTCAGATAAGGACTTTGAGATACCATGAGTTTAGTCAAATACACCAATATCCAGTCATCTCATAAAGCCATCATGTTAAGACTGGACTCACTTGATGAGATGACTGGAGTCTGGTGGGTTGGAAAAAAAATAAAAATACAGCCACACGGCCCTTTCAAAAACCAGTTTAACACCCCGGGGCTTAACACTGTCAATCTATTTTCAAATATGTCCTTCTAGAAAAGAATAATTTCTGTAAGCTTCTTAAATATAGATGAATAAACATAATACCTATTGAAAAAAAATCTTACATATTTTATACTCATGTTTAATGTTTCATTTTAACCCACGAAAAAGCTTATGGAATTTCTAAAGAACACAAAATACGATTTAAACCTTGAACACATTTTTGCTCAATCTCAATGAAGAAAATGTTTTAAAAATCATGTCCTCAGGCTTTCTAATAGAAAAACAGTAACCCAGCAAGACCATAAACCTATATTTCAAAAATAACATTTAGGGTATCCTATAAAAAAACAGTTATGTAAATAATTTTTACATCGAAATGGTGTTTGCTTTGTTACAATTGTGTCCCCTGTTTGGTATGCAGTTTGGTTTTGTGTTTATCGATAATACAACAACACCAACAAGTACATGTGACAGCGATGCAGTTCAAATTATGTTTTATTCTCAGCTGTTTTTTTTTTTTTCTACTTTCCTTTTGTCTTGTCATGAATAGTCTTATTGCTCTGTTTTCTAATTGTGTGCCCACTTGGTCTTGTTTTGTGCGAAGGAGATAGGTTTGCAAAAAAGCTAGGGAACCTCAAAAGTATCTATCGTACCCTTTAATATAAAAAAGTAAAAAAAAAAAAAAAAAACATAACTCTAATGAACTACCATCTTGGTAGCCTAAGCTAAGCTGTTTGTTTCAAGCACATTCATGTTTCTGTCATTATTCCTAAGATGGAAGATTAAAAAACTAATTATTTCAGTAGAAATAATTTTTGTCATTTTACTGGGGAGGCAAACTGAGAGCGTTCAGGCCTGATGTTTTCCTCCAGGCTTTACATGGAAGGTCAGCATCAACATTCTTCAGCATTTAAATCCTGTTTTCTGTTATTGTGGAAAATGTGCAGGTTTGTCAATATATCATTTTCAGCTTCAAACCGGAAACCAAGAAGCAGTCCTGCAGCATCACCCATGGTGATGGAAACAGCAGGGTGTTGGTAGCTATCAGCTCTTACAAGCCTGCACTGATGACCTGATTAAGAGTCGAAGCATTTTGCCTATAAGATTATGACTTTGGAGGCTGGATCTGAATTTGTTTACATGTTCCTCTGCGTATGAAGGCATTATTGGTTAGAATTTGTGACAATGTCCTTTTTCCTACCACTAACATCTATTTACATCATTGCTTCCAAGATGGAGGAGTTTTGGCAGTTTTTAGTCCGATGGTGTTACAATGTGATACAGATTGCAAAATAAACTCTGTAGGAGTTATGTCCAGACCTGATGAGAACAGCATATTTCTGAAGGGCTCGTTTCCATTTACACAGAAATAGTTGTGTATCTTTTCCTGCCTTATTACTTAAGGATGGCAGCTTTTGGGGAACAGTGGAAAAAGTTATGATATCCTAACCTTTTTAGTGCTGCATACTGTCGTACAGCAAAGGCAACGCTAAATATGTTCTTGAGGACATCCATTTTATATTTATTTATTTATTTATATTCTGATATGTTTTCTTGATGTTGAAAACAAGATGAAAAATACTATTTCTAAATTCACTTTTTCTGTCATCGTTGAAACAAAGCATGAAGTATTTTTATACAAAGCCACTCAATGACATATTATATCCTTAATTATGTGTTAATTGATTTATATTTATTGTCAAATAAAGCTTTCTTTGTGTTGATGGTAAATAATTATGATCAGGATAACCTATGTATTTTAGATATTGAAAAAAGTCTCACCATTCTGTCCATCTAAATTTTGATTTTTATATAGTTTTTTTTCCAGTACTGTAATTAGCAGCTACCACCCTTTGTGTTATAAAGATTGTTACCTACACCAGCATTCCCTTCGCATAATTTTTAGATACCAATATTTCTATTTTCCAACAGGTGTAACCTAGTTTAAAGGTTTTCATGCTTAATTTCAGGTAAAAGTTGGAAACTCAAAAGGATAAGGGAAATTCAAGTCTGTAAAAGTTCAGCTTTTTTTTCATAATTACCAAAACTATTACAGTCAGGCATTACGCCTCCTATCAATTATTTGTTTAAAACTCAAATTTAAATACAAGGTGTTTGAAGTTGTACTTTTAACTCTAAAATATCAAAACACAAGATGATTTTCCCAGTTTGAGCCTGTTTAAAGACTGACTTGCACAAGCTCCAGTCATATCAGGTAATGAGCTCAGTTTAGAAAATACATTGACTGACAGCTGAGAAGCAAGATTTCAACATGTGTTTTAGTATTTAAGTGTAGAGAATGAATTTCTCTGTAAATACACATTTCAGAAACAAAATAAATAGAAAATATAACTTGCATCAACATGATTGTGCTACTTATATTATGTATGCACTAGTTCTCTTTAGGCAGATACACATTCTTGGTGATTATATGATTTTATACCAAATTTTCATTTTACCAGACCAGACATCAGTGTTCAGTAATGTAACTGACCGCCTGAGGTAACGTCATAAATTCGCAGAGCTTCTCCTAGCTCATCACTGACTTCCACCGAGCTGCTGACCTGTAAACTGAACAAGACATGCCATCAGCAGCAAATCGCAGAAGCTCTTTGCTCTGCCAGTGCTACGCTTTATCTCTTTTACTCTTTGTTGACAACAAAGTGTGTGACCTGAGCCCACAGCCTGCTGGTATCATCACTCATCTTGTCTTTTTTCTGTCTCTCTCTATCAGACGTAGTAAAAGGGCTTATTTTGATTTCTTAGACCCAAATCGTTAATCACTGCAGATAAATTTAGTCTGCTGCAGTTCAGTATTTGAGCTTTGTATCAGAAATATTTGGATCATTCCTTTTTCCACTTAAACAGTCGATATTGTATTTTTTGTGGATTCAGGCAGAACATGAACATAATGTGACTTATTCTTAACTAGTTCTGGGTTACTTAAAAATGTACTTAGTTATAGTTACTTCTCAAAAAAGTAACCAAGTTAGTAACTCAGTTTCTGTTCAGTGAAAGTAACTAGTTACTAGCCAAAGTAAATATGCCATTCCTTTTTATGTTTTGAAATGTGAAAGAATTTGGAAAACTTTCTTGTTATTGGAATTTCAAATACAACTAAAAGTTCAATTTTTGGGGTATAATGAGTCTGTTATTGATTAATCAATTGAATGGTTAATTTAAAGGTCTACATCTCTGAGAACATTGGAAACTATTCTACATTATTTTGGTCTGAGTGGTTTGAAAAGTGAGATGCAATATTATTTTATAGATGTTATGATATTTCTTGTTTAATGTTTTAGAACTTACTTTTTTTGCACGTTGACAGCCTTATTGGTTATAAAATATGTATGAAGCTGAAAAAGAATGCCTTTTAAGCAATTTAACGAAAATAAAATATACTTTGCAATAGAATTTATCAGGGGTTACAATATTAAAGGGAAAAAAGAAACCCTTGCAGGACTGTATGATCCCAGTATTTTTCTGAAAAAGCAAATTATATAAATATGTTAGAACAGTCTGGATGTAAATGTAACATTCTGGAGGCAATACTTATTAACAGATTGCCACAAAAACTCTTCATTTAATTACCCAGACAAAAGAAATGTCCTGTCATATGTTGTAAAAACCTGTAGAAGTGCGGATACCAAAGGTTGGTTCTACAATGGATTAAAAAATGCAGACTAAATAAAAATGCATGAAACACTTCTCAAATTTTCACTGTAAAAGTCTGACCACCATGCAGACATATATTTCACACCATGATCATTTCTTTTCTGTGTAAAAAAAAATATAAACTGCAGTACAGAAAGAAACATATAAGGAACGGTTTTCCTTTCTCCCAGTTTAGAACTAAAAGACTTTTTCTTTCTTTCTCACCAATATTTGGAAGAAAAAACATGAAAAAAAAAAAAAAAACATAATGTACACTTGTTCTGTAAATCATGCTCTCCAGAGACATAATTTATAGATAGGCGTTGGAAAATGTGTTCCAAAATATATCTCAAAATACAATCTCAAGCAGACATAAAAGGTATTTTACCTCTTATGCCACCTTTTCCATGACAAAGCTGGATATAAAAAAGTTCCATTAATATAATTAAATACATTTTTTATTACATATTTTAAATATGAATGGAAAATGGCAGTAATTATGCATTTGAGAGTTGTGTTTTCAACATGTGCCCAAACCTGTTATCAAAACTTATTAGCTTGATGCAGGAAGACGGAAAAACACTGAGGCAAGTGACACAAATAAAATTGTATAATTAAGCTTTTAGGTACAAAAGTCTTTCCAGCCTTGACTGAGTGTGGCACTAAATAACCCAATGCTGTTACTAATATGTATTGCAAGAATAAAAAAGAGAGAACACTTGTATTCACTATTATAACCCAGTATTTCCCTAACATCAACTAAATCATTATATTCTATGACTCACATTCTTCTCTTAAAGTAACTTTAAAAAGAATCCATTAGTATTTAGTTGTTTGATTGACTCACTGACCTTTTCTTAAAAAAAAAAAATAAATAATTGATCTAACTTTTTAGGTTCAGTATTTTTAAGCAGTTTGCACAAAGAAAAAGATGGAATGAATCAGCTCATGGTAGATACCTTACTGTACTCAAGTTTATCTTCAACAATTTGGGAATTTCCATGGTTATTATGCCAGGTTCAAAGCTGACCGACCGGTTGTTGATCTCTATCATATTTTCCTTGCCTAAATCAACTAGGAATGCATTCGCTTATTGATTTATTTCTGTTTACAATTGCTGCATGAAATGTCTGTATCTTTATTGTTAATTTGCGCTAAGGAAGTGGAATACGTCAGCATCTCACTCCTGCTTTTCTCCTTGCAGCTGCTGAGCCATTCATCGTTACACTCATATTTGTTATCTTTAGTTTTTTCTTTTTTGGGAGGGAGGGGGGGTGTTACCATAAGTTTAAGAATGTCAGCCATCAATGAATTAATTAATTTGAGATACATGTGGACACTTAATTAATCTATTTAATACCTTTAAACTTTGGTCTCACTAGATAAGTTGTCTGTAATTTACTCTGGTTGGTATTTTTAGACTCCTCTGAAGAATCTGCCATTGCTGCCACAATCAAGTTGAAAATGTTGCACATAAAAACAAGTATTGCCTTACAGTTTTGGCCTCCCATTATCTGTGTATGAAGCCTTCAGTACTTGAAAGATCCCAAATTGAGTCAGAGCTTTTGTCAGTTAGCTGATTTGAGTCTAGTGCTTTAAATCTTTTTTGTAGTATTTATTTAATTTAGGAGAGTCCTTTGTTGTGCTTTTCCTCCAGGTGTAGTGGTGTTTAGTAAAATTCTGGTTATAGGCAGTAAGCAAACTCTGACTTCCAGTGCTTCAGTCAAAGAAGCAGGACTAGGTGATGCAAACTTTTAACAAGATTTGCTTAAGAGTCAAAGGATTGTTCCACTTCATTCCCCGCCTCCCCCCTGCAGGTCTTCATCCCCACTGTTAAACTGGACTATAGCCATGTTCAGTCTAGGTGTGGGTCCTTGGACAGGCGGGGCCACTCAGCAGGAGGTGGACACGTGAGTCTTGTCCTGCAAACCATTCTCAGTGCTACATTGTCAGTGCTGTTTGCCTTTTGTTCTGTGTTGTGTTGTGCTTTTTTGCAGTGTTCCTACTTTCTTTTTTTCAACGTATTAAATATTTTATTGATCTGACTTTTGATCATTCACACAGCAGCGGAGGTCTGTGCTAATTTGATTCTCTTTTATTTTAAGTTTTATACTGTAAATTTTTTAAAGAATTATTTTAGGTTCATTCTTTCATTAGGAAAATAAATCATGTTATTAGGTAATTATTAAAACAACAATACATATGGTAATTATTTGCCACATGTATCAGTAGCTATTTTGTTACTTATGATTTCCTAAAAATAGCTTTTCCTATTTTTTTCTTGTGTATAGTTAGTCCAGTGTAGAACTATAGTAATGGAAATAAAAATGTATTTATTTATTTTAATCCGTATAGACATCTTTATTACGGTTACCAAATACGACCACCGCTTTGTTTAAGATGTGTCTTTAATTTTGGAAAGGCATTTCCAAAGGTTCAAGAACTCAAAAGATTATATGAAGTGTATTTTATCAAATATGGTTTAATAATAAAGGTTTTTTCTTTTTGATCATACCCCTTTATCAAAGACTTTTACAATAAAACATTAGAAGTTAAATATAACGGAATTCATTGAACACTTGATTAAATCTAATTGGCACCATGTACTGTAGAGGAAACAGGTTAGATGTTTAATCCTAATCTGTGGTTTTCTGGTTTGACTGATGCTCATTATAAGCACACCACAAGACAATGAGACAAATAAAGGTTCTGCTAACTTTATACCACTTAATTTAATCCCTTTATAACAAATGTAATTTTATTTAGTGAAATCAAGTATTCAGCAAGAAATGATTCACATATCTTGGCAAACAGCTTTGCTTAAACAACACTGCCTGTGGCTAAAAGCATTCATAGCTGCTCATAAAACCATGTTGAAGTTAATTAATTTTTAACTGAAATATTTTCTTAACAAAGTCACTTTGAGACTATTGTTTTTTGCTTTGTTCCCAATTTAGCGACTGTTACTGTAATTATACTAATGTTAAGCCTTTTGGTGGTACGACTTAAACAAAAACATAGCAAATTAAGATAAATTAAGGTTCGAAAAGCTATATTTGAAAATATATTTTAAAATGTTAGAGTAACAAAAATAAGAGCTCAAGAAAACTGATGCATGCCATTATTATAGTAAGATGTTTTATATAAATTTCCACCTCCCATGATTTAAGCAAAGAAAACATAGGAAAATGGGGGCATGGTCCGTGATCTAGGATTTTCTAGATGTCCTAAAACTCAGTATGTTTTAAAAATGCAGAATCTTTGGAGTAGTTTACACAACTTTAGAGTTGATGTTTGTTTTTTAGATTGAAAGATGTGATTTCAAATGAAATCTGGGACAAATAAAGAGCTGAAGGACGCCTTCTAACACTTGCACAAAGCACAATACCTTTATGGAGTTTGTCTTCACATGTATGGTACTGGCAGAAGCTCCTACAGCTGTCTGCATGGTCCGATATTCATTGTTTATTGTCTTATTTTTGTTGACACGTGTATAACAATGCTTCTTTACTCTGGATTAATCATTGGAAAACTGGAACCTTACATGTCTGAGTGATTCATTTCAGCATGTGATGTTTCTCTTCTTACCCATTGTGCTGTGTTTATAAAGCTTTATTGCTCCTCTCTGTTTGCTGTCTCACTCACTAGAAGTGATATTCACCATTACTGGAATTTGATCCAGAATCTGTGGAGAGAGTAGAAGATAAATGGGTTGGAAAGATGCTCTCCAACCTTAAACACTTAGAGCTCAGTGCAAAAGACATATGGTCAGGAATACCAGTGGAGTTCAAAATGTTTGCCAATAAAGACATTTTTAGTGGTTGTTGATTGTTTTTGTTGATTGTTATTTTAAACAGCTGTTTATTTCCATTTCGTTTTTAAATGAGATTTGTTTTGCGTAGTTTTTATTTACGGTAATCACCTATTACTTGCTAAAGAATCACAATTGTTTGCGGAATTAGGAAAAAAAAACATTAAATGTAATACTTGCTGGGAGAAACCTGAATAAAGATTGTCTTAACTGAAACTGTTGTGGTACTACAGACATTTTAGAGCACTGTGCTAACAAAAACAAACACAAAACATGAATACTCTCATTACGAGCCTGTTTATTAAAATTCCTTTACCAAGAAAATTCATGAAAGAATTAGAAATTGTGGATAAAACCAGTTTCTTTTATAACTCAGATAATGAAAGAATACCTTTTTTCCCTATCATTTGGAATCTCATGCTTATCTCTAAGAGCTGAATTTTCTTTTCCCAACTTTGCCTCTTTCAGATACAAATACAGAACAAGAAGATTGACTTGAGCCACGTGACCTCCAAATGTGGTTCTCTTGACAACATCCATCATCGGCCAGGTATAAAGCTCTATACACAGCTGGTGTTGCAGAGGGAGACTGGGCTATGATGTCTATGACAGCTGCTGTGGGTTTTCTGTGCAGCCTTGATCCTTAGTGCACAGCATCCTCAGCACTAATTTGAACTCTTCATTGCCACTTAAACATCTTTGGAGTTTATTCATTACTTTTTTCACAGTTTTGTTCACCTTGGTGTCCAGTATGGTGTCCATTGACATGATATATATTCTGTTTGTCTGTCCAGCTGTTTTTCAGAAATCACCAGATGGCAATATCCATTTTGTCCCAAAAAGAAACACCCCTTACTGTACATCAAGAACCGCACACCGCCCCTTCCTTCTACAAACATTGTTGGATTTTTAAACAGGAATGCATTGCTGTTATAGCTTGTGTAATGTAATGCAACAGATAAAGCCAATATGACGTTGTGCTCATCATAGTTCTTCCTTTGCAAAGCTCTTGGCCTTGAAATAACGTCACTGGACTCTCTATTAGAGAAGTGCAGCAAACGACAGTGTGTTCGGCTCACAGGGTTTCCATAACCAGTAAATGCCATCATATCAGCCAGTTAGACAGGTATACCAACAAAAAGGTCCAATCACTGATCTAAATCGTTTTAGTTTCCTAAATGAATTTGGGAGTTTTCATTGAAACCATTAATTTTGGTTGTAAAGTAAAGACGTATGCTGCAATCTACCAGATAGATGACAATCTGTTATTATTTCACCCTTTCCTGGGAGAGGGACACAAAACTCTGATCAAACTGAGGAAGAAATAAGTAATCAAACAAAAATCTGCCTCCATGATCATAGCAAGTCAACTAAAATCCAATATAAAACCTCTGGGACAATATAGAGAGATTGATCAGAGAGAATGGGGAATTGAATATGTTATTCTAGATGATTTACTTATCAAACATTTTTTTTATTTGTTTTTTGTTTTGTTTTTTAGGACATTGTTGATTTTTTTAGCTTGTATAAATCCCTGAAAGTCCCATCAATCACTCTTTGCTGCTGAGCTCTTTGTTGTCCCAGTGCACTCAAAGAATAGCAGTTGAACTGAGCCATGAACTTAGTTTGGATTGACAGCTTGATAAATCTGTCCACAGGCAGTGAACTGTAGGAGGGGCTTTTTGGTCCCTGGAAAACATTGCTGCATCTGCCTTGACCCTAACTAGAAAACCAACCTGAGTTTGAAACAACATTTTATGACCTGCGTTGAATCCAATCGGGGTCAGATTAAAAAAAAAGATGTTTAAGTCTTAATAATTCTAATCCCCATAGATAAAGTCACGTCAAGAAAGTCAGTCTGTAAGCAAGCATTTTTTTTTCATTGCAAGATGCAGAAATGAATGAGAAAGTTATCAAGCTTTTCTTGCATAGTTGGAAGTCTATAAAAAAAAGGAAAATAAAATAAAGTATAATATATGGTCGATCACTCTACCCTTTTCTGACTGCTGCCTCCAGATGGTTTCAGTCGCGGTTCCAGGTTGCTAATCTGGATCTCTGGAAGAATTTATAGATGCTAAACACTGTATGCAGTTCTTACATACAAAACTGCTGCTCACTGCTACTCTGTCACATATTATCTTCCTGCTGTCTTGCCTTTACAGTATACTTGTTAACCTTTATTTTTTTAGGACATTCTCTGCATTCAGGTTCCTCCCAACTATTAACCACAATGCTAATTCCAAACACACAAGTAATTATACCCCTTGAGCTAATTTCTCTTTTTACATGCTGTAAACAAAACCTGTGGTTTACTACATGTGGACCAAGAACAGATTGCAAGTGCAAAGGAGAATTTGGGTTTCATAATCTGTGCAAAAATAAAATCTGGAAAGTCTAGTTTCTTTTCAGACTCCTCTTCACAAGCAATTTAATGTTGCAAATATATGAAGGGTCCAAATGCACTCTAAAAAATTATTATTTTTTGCCAGTTAGTTCAGGCTCTGTTAAATTTGAGGTAAAGTGTCAAAGAGCTTCAGTTTTCTTGTCTTGCTACTGTATAGATTCTCATTTGGATCATGGTCTTGGGTTTGACTGAGCCGTTCTAACGAGTGGTTATGCTTTTATCCAAGTATTCTAATGTGGCCCCCCTGTGTTTTCAGAATGATGTTGTCAATGGGATATCCTGCCTTTCGTTATCATCTTTTAATTTCTTCATGATGCACTGTTTTTTTTTTTAATCATCCAATCTTTCCCTGCTTGTCTTCAGGAGGTGGTAATGTGCGAATCGAGAGTGTGAAGCTGGATTTTAAAGACAAAGCTCAAGCCAAGGTGGGTTCACTGGAGAATGCACATCACATTCCTGGTGGAGGGCACATTATGGTGAGTGTCTAATTGAATCATTCAAGAAGAGACATCAGATTTCTACAAAGTTCTGTTTTGATTGATTCATCACACATCATAGCGTCTTCTTGGTGTTTAATCAAGGCTAATGAGTAGAGAGCATCTGGATAAGTTTTACGATGTAATCCAAGAGAATATGTCTTTTATCCATATACCTGAACAATGCAGACAGAAGGACTGTTGCTTCAATCTTATTCTCATTGTACTCTTAAATCACATGTCCTGCATTTAACAGATTGAGAGCCACAGGTTGACATTTCGCGAGCATGCAAAGGCCCGCGTTGACCACGGAGCTGAAATCATCGTCCAATCCCCTGGTCTGTCAGGCTCTGTCTCTCCCCACCAACAAAAGGGGAGCCAGCTCTCATCCTCTGGCAGTCTCAACATACAGGAGTCTCCACAGTTAGCAACCTTGGCCAAGGATGTCACCGATGCCCTAGCCAAGCAGGGCTTGTGAACATTAGATCTCTGGATTGCTGCTCTGCATCCAAGACATCCTCCCTTTTTCAAACTTTTCTGCCCTCAATTGCCATCTTAAAACAAAATGGTCACCGCTGATGCTCAGCAAACAGAGTTCTTAACTTCTTTATCTCAAAATACATCATTAAACTCTAAGCTGAGACTAGATTTAGAAGCTACTGTGTTTTTAGTTCTCTATTTTTAACCCTAAACATGTGTTTTTCCTGATTTCTGTTATGGATATTACTTTATGTTTTGAACAATGTTTTGCATAAAGTTAGACCGGGCATTTGCTCTAGATTAAGTGGTATATCTGTTAACGCTGGCTTTGCAGGTCTTGGATCAGTGTTTTGAAAAAGTGACAGCATTTTTTTCTACTTCACACTAGAGATTGTCTGAACACCCCCTTTTTGTTCCTGCTCAGTAAACATGCATGATTATCAGAGCCCCCAACAAGCATCCTCATTCAGAGACAGCATTTGGACTCAATTCATAATCTATTTAAAAACAACATCGAGATATCTTTAAAATACAACTTGCTTCCCATCCACACACCTACACATTTTTAAACGAAGCAAAAAAAAATGGCTCTGAGATATTACCTTAAAATGGCATTTATGCAAGAACCACATCGTGTTATAACAAGCATGTATGAATCCACTATGAAAAGAGGCTCTTTTGTATTTAAGAAAAAAAAAAATTTTAGTAAATCATTCTTCATTTATTGGATAAAGGTAAACAAGTTCATGTTTTGTAGTTAATAGATGTTTTACAGTGTAAAGCTTGGTGACAATGTCCGAGACTGATCTGGTGTTACTGAGGGAGGCACCTCCGTCCTGTCAACCTTACTCACTTTTACCTGCTCAGTAGATCTTTGTAGTTTCCTGTATAAGAGCTCATTTCGCAAATATTCAACCTAGGAGGAAATTCCTCAAGGAGTATTAGGAAACACCTATAAAATTAGCTGTTTCATTCATCAAAATGATATGCTAATTGATGTCTGATTCACAGAAGAATAGATATTACAGATGATGCCACTACTCAAAATTCTGTGTGTGCTGGGGGTGTGTGTTTGTTGTTTGCGTTTGGTGCAGATCCCTTGCCGTTTTAAGGAGGGATGCCTCTGTATCCAACTTGTTTGTTGTGATGTGTAGGATAAAGAAATTGTTAAAAGAAAAGAAAAAAAAAACTTTTTAAAAGCCTTAAGAAGAAAAATACTCATTGTTGAAAATGTACACTGGGGAGAAAGAACTCAGTCAGCTCCTGTTATATCTGTTTGAACAAAATGTTTGGGTGATCTAGGTTTTTTTTTCTTTCTGACACTGTTTGTGGTTTGACCCGCCTCCTGCCTAGCTACTGCCCTCAACTGCAAATGTTTGTTTGCTTCTGTGTTTTTCTGCATTTCCCATTTCCGTGTACCTCTCCTCCCCGGGCCCTGCTCCACCCTGCAGCAACTCTTAATGTATTTAAAAGGTCAAGTAGATGTATGCAGTTTTTCTCCTGTTGATATGACACCAATTATGATGATTAATGACAATAAAAATAACAAAATGTGACATTGATCTTGTTGTTCTGTTTTTATTCTCTATCATTGAAGATATCAACGGGAACTCAAAACATCCATCCAACCATCCATTTTCTGTCACGCTTATCCCAACTGGGGTCACGAGGGTTACTGGTGCCTATCTCTAGCTGTCATGGGCGAGAGGCAGGGTACACCCTGGACAGGTCACCAGCCTATCGTAGGGCAACACAGAGACACACAGGACAAGGCAGCAGAGCTACCCACTGTATCACTCCTCACTGTGCAGCCAATTCAAAACGTGTGTATGGAATTTCTAAGTTCATACATGTAATTCCTTTTAAGCAATCAGTGGAACGGTTTTGGAGTTTCACTCCTGGACAGGACATTTTTGTCATTTTGGTAATATTCCAGGGGTGAAATAAGAAAATTCCAAAATAAATCCAACAAAATCCGATATGAAAGCTTAAAAAAAACAACTCTTTGGATTTTTCATCCTTTTCAGTTTGACATAAAAATCTACATTTTAAGCATTTTTCTTCTTAAAGTACAGTTAATACCTAGATATCTGTAATTGTCTTACAGTAGCTAAGAATTTTCTTATCAAATAAAACATTATTATCCAAATTGATTGTTCCTGTCTAGCTGCAACAATAAACATAATTTTTTTTGAAGGATGTTAAAACTGGTAATCATTTTTGCTTTATTATTTGCTTTGAATACATGAATAATTTTTTATTTTAAGTCTATTCTCATAGCTTAACAAAGAAGAAAATTTGAGTGTGTTTTTTCAATATTTTTTATTTTAAAAATTCCACTTGGTAATATACTTTGTGGAGGTCTTTTTGTAAGTAAATATATTTCGGTTGGGTATCAAAGTCGAGTATCTGTCTTGCTCACATGAAACACTTGCCAAATTTTCCCAGTAAATGCCACCAGACACTCTCTGTGAGGATGTGGTATGGCTTTTCCTTTGTGGAAAAACATTTTTTTTTTTTTATTTTGTGCTGTAAATCTGAATGCAAAGAGATTCTGAGATGGGCCACAGTCCACTAACGCCACCCTTTGGTAGAGATGAAGGATGGGTTGCTATTCCACAGTTGTCTGTGGCCAGGCTGGAAATCAGCATGAGAAAAAAAAAATCCAAGGCTGTTCTGGTTGTTTTTGTTTCTTTAACACCCTTGAGGCTCTTGCTTGTTTGGCGAATACATTGTTAAAGTGCCAATTGTTCCTGTCTCTGTAAAATATTGTCATCTAATCCATTAGATTATTCTAAACAAGAGTCAATAGCAAGATATGGTATTTCGCAACTAAAATAAAGGTCATTTTTTCTGTAGCTACAGCTGATATACTTAACTCTGCTGCTATTCTGTCAAATGTATTACCTTTACATGTGAAACTATTTTGTATGTAGGAATTAAAAAGTGCTAAATAGCATTTTTTTAGTAAAACATAGTTCAAAACCTAACTGTTTTATGTTTGAGTCCAAGTTTAAAAGTTGCAAGTTACTAAAAGAGGATTTTTGTTTTTTTATAAAAAAAATAAAAAGCCTCCATTTCCTATTTATTTATAATATACAAGTTACAAAGGTAGGTGGAGAATAGAGTCAAATACTCTGGAAAATAATGGGAGTGTGAAAAGTTTATTGTGAAATGGCAGAGAATAGAATAGCTTAAGACTCAGGGATGGATCGAGCAAAAGGTGGATTGATTTTAATGGCCAGACCTGGGCCAAACCTGTCGCTGACATGGCAGCTAGACAGCCAAATAAACAACACTTGGGAGGAAATGGTCATCGGTACTCCACCTCCCCTTCCATCACTGCTCCTCTGTAATAACAAAACCCCAATGAGACCATGGGACCAGGATGAAGATGAAGGAAGAAGCACCTCCTTTGCAATCGTTGCTTTCCAAGTGGCAGGAGGAGAAAGAGACAGAAGGGCGGAAAAAAATAAAATAAAGCACCATTTGGACAAAAGAGAGAAAAAAAGTATGATTTAACAAAACAGGGTTCAAGAAATGACATCTCTTAGTCCATTGTTCCCCCTGCTTCCAAGATGATTCAGGAAACAGCGAGTGGATGTCGCGACACCATGGGGTCTGCACTAGTCGATGTTCACCACCACAGTGGCAGGGTCCTTACACAGACATGACGTGCTTGACAAAGGCTGTAGATGTTGACCAGGGCATTAAACAGAAAGAACAGAGTAGAAAAATTAATGAGGGAAAATATGATCCACATGATATTAGTGATAAACTAGTATATCACATGAAAAACAGAGATCTGCATCATTTATTATTTAAACAAGGTGACAAAAGGAAAGAAAAAAATAATAGCAAGTAATTCCTTAAGAATGCATTTTATTTTAGTGACCAGCAAAAGGAGTTTTCCTCTCCACTGTCCCTACATGCATACTTGTTGTGAGGTATTGCTTTCGATTCAAAGAGTCGATACAATCAGCTGGTTTTCCTTAGAAAGCTTTGAACCAAAAAGTGCCTTGAGATGACATATGTGGTGAATTGGCGCTGAGCCTTTTTGTGTCAATAGTGTACTGTACCTGCAGTAATTCCTGGTACCTCCATTTGATATCTCTTTGCATTACATTCAATCCAAAGATGTCCCTTGCTTTGTTCATAATTTAAGTCCTTTTTACCTTTATTGCCAATGACAAACTCAAAGCAATATAAAGTACAAAAAGTTTTTAGACCCTTTGGTCTCACCACACCCGAGGTAAACTGATAACTTCAGCCTCCAGAACCTGATTTTGATTTATACTAAATGAAGATGTCAAAAAGAGGTACCTTGATATGTAGGATATTAATTACCTGTAACTTTTTAATAGAAACTCACTTCAAAAATCCCAATTTACGCCTCTAAATGAATTTGTAAAGAAGAACAAAAGAAAAAAAAATGTATATATATATATATATATATATATATATATATATATATATACATATTATCAGAAGAAAATTAAGATGCTTTAGGATAATCATTACAGAATGGGTCGAGTTTTGCATATTCCTATTTTTAATTACTAGTTTAGAGCTGAGAAAACTAGATTAATGTTTGTTGTCATATAAAAAGTTGATATGTGGAGAGTTACAATTTTCTGCTATCAGATGAATAATTTATAGTATATGCTTGAGATTAATTAACAATGGGCTTTATCATATTTATATGGTGCATCTCAGTTTTATGGCGGTAGTATTAGTAATAGAAGTAGTGTTACTGAATTTCTGGCTCACCCTCATAGTTTACACAGCCACTCTCATCTTCCTGTCCTGCCATGAGGGCATCGATTTCTGCCTCATTCATCTTCTCTCCTGCAAAGGGGTCACAGAACACATTCAACATTAAGATATTAGGTTAGTCATACATGCATTGAAAAAAACAGTTTGGACTTACCCAGTGTTGAAAGGACTATGCGCAGCTCAGCGCCCATGACTGTGCCATTGCCCTCCTTGTCAAAGACACGAAGACCCTCAACATAATCTTCAAATCCAGCCTTATTTGGGCTGTTGATGATGGTCTGAAGCATGGGCAAGAAAGCTTCAAATTCTACTCTCTTGCTGGCCATGTCTACATAAAAAGAAATAAAAATTAGAACAACAAACATTTTAATAGTGCATCTCAAACAGAACAAACTTATATATTA